TCTAAATAAAAAACCGTTTGGTAAGCAAAGATGGATAGTGGCTAACAGTGGAATCCAGGACGCGCGTTTAGTCCTATTTGGGACTCGTCACCTGGATGTACCTGCATCTCAGAGTTCATGTTCACTCTGGAACTCGAACTCAGTATCTTTCGCTTCAAACGCCATCGCGTTATCTACTCGGCCACTGAGTCCTGATAGACACTTGCCTGTGCAATGGGGTGAAGTTGAAATTTACTTAGTATTATTTGTTTGAATCCTACCATTGACGTTTTAGGACTGCAACTGGTCACTCGAGTGGATAACGCGATGGAGTTTGAAGCGAAAGGTACTGGATCCGAATCCCAGAGTGAACATCAACTCTGAGATGCAGGTACATCCAGCTGACGAGTTCCAAATAGGACGAAACACGCATCAAACTGGATTCCACTACTAGCCACTATCCATCTTTGCTCACCATGCTTGTGAATTTAGACTATATCGACGCAATACACACAGTATGCACATATGCCAACTAGAGACTGACCAGTTGCAGTCCAAAAAAAATCAATGGAAAGATTCAAACAAACAATACTAAGTGATAAAAACCGTTTGTTTATCGTTTGATTTAAATGTTCCCTACGTAAACAATAATACTCATAGAAAGTAAACAAACACTGCATATTGATAGATGTGGTTGAATGATTAACAATCTTCTATGTTTGTTCAATTCATTATCAAGTCAATGTTAAAAGAATACATAAAAATCGGATTAAAATAATTTTTGTATGTTTTTCTATTTATCATTGATATATGAGTATTCATTTGGTCTAACATTGATCGTTTCGCGATGTCAATCTAAATCTTCTCAACTCTATAATGATAATTACTATGTGCTCATAAGTGATTAGTTTCGTGAGGGAATTCTCAGAGTCCTGACAGCCACTACCTTGTACAATGGCATGAAGTCTAAACTCATTTTGTATTATTTATTTGACTAATCAATTGGTGCCTTAAATATCAATGGGAAAATTCAAATAAACAATATAAAATGGTTTTATGTATTGTTATTTTAAAGCTTCTTTAACCAAGTTAAGCTATTTTTATCTCTATTTGTACACTTATTTTCTCTCTATCATTGTACATAGTTTTTTTTACCTATAGTCAATGGTTAATTCTATGGAAAAAATTGCAAATCAGACAAAGGCATTGGTTTACAGTAATGAGTTTCAGATAAGAAGGGCACCAGATATATATGCACCGCACAAAAATTTCATTTCATTTAATTGTGTGAGGGCTATGATACTGCCTGGGTTCCTAGACAAAAGCAGGTGATTTTATTAAGGGGCCACATACGGAGCCTTCGATCTAAAGATCTTATCCACAAGGCATTGGAGCATTGTGAGGAGATGCAGTCCCATGGTAGCCGGTGACCAACATTTGATTCATACACCATTTGTTCCCTCAGGATACTGGAGCCAGCCCATGTGCATCATTGGTTTGAAATCAGGGTTTTCCAACTCCCCTAGGTGAACTTTCCGTGTCCACCAACCCGGTTAAAGCGCCAGACATTCGCTTTTCATCCCCTCACCTTCGTGAGCAATACCCCTGCCATGAGAAGTCAGTGAGTAGGACTTCCCTCACAGAGGCTATATACGCTTGTCCATGTGAGAGCATTTGGAGAGGGATAGCGGACTCTTCCCACTCTCGGCCATACCAGGGCATATGTTAAACATTTCTTACATTTTAGTATTACTAAATGACCAAAACTATTATAAAAATTTAATTAAAAATGCAAATTAGAAAGATAATTCATTCTTCTAAATCATATAGACTCTGTAAAGAAAATGATGCCAATAATTAAATTTTTTTTTTAAATTTCAAGTGTTCGTTGTTTATTTTAAATTATATTATCATGCTTTAATTCATTATATCAAGGTCACTTGTATATTTAAAAAAGACAAAAACATTATTTCACATATAAATAACCACTCATGAATTTCTAGTAATATAAAAGCTATCCTCAGCAGTGTGTATCTAAGCTCCCATCTGAGGAGCTTCTAGTGGCGTTAAAGAAGAAAAAACAACATGGTAAAGATTGAATTTTTAATATTTATTAATGTTGTGATTAGCTTTCCTAAAACAATTATAATAAGTATCGGAAAGGGGTTTTGTGGAGTTTTTAATAATTTAACGATTGAATTCATGGGTCAATTAAAGCTAGAGTATCAAGGAAAATTTAGAAGCTCTGAATGGCTGTTTCATCCTGGTATAGGACTCTTCAGAAGTGTAAATCCATCCAGTGCTTTCAGGTTTTATTTTGTGGTCTAGCTTTAATTGACTCATGAATTCAACTATTAAATTATAATCACTGTTTGCAAGTGTACTATCGCAAAATGGTATAATACCTTTGAAATATTAATACGAAATCTGGTGATTGACTGGATTATGAAGACTTCGACATCTGAGAGGAAACACGGAATACAATGGACTTCTCAGAATCAATTAGATGATTTGGACTTCGCAGATGACCTAGACCTCCTATCTCATTTACACGAACAAATACAGACGTAGACAGCAAATGTAGCATCAGCCTCTGCATCAATAAGCCTCAACATACACAAGAGATAAAGCAAGATCCTCAAATACAACACTAAGGACACCAACCAAATCACACTTGATGGCGAAACTCTGGAAGAGGTGGAAACATTCACGTACCTGGGGGGCATCGTTGATAAACAAGGGGGATCGGATGCAGATATAAAGGCGAGGATTGGCAAAGCAAGGACAGCATTTCTACAATTGAGGAACAACTTGAACTAAAAACAACTGTCATCCAATATCAAAGTCAGAATCTTCAATACGAACGTCAAGACAGTCCTACTGTATGGAGCTGAAACGTGGAGAACAAATACATCCATCGTCAAGAAAGTACAAGTATTTATAGACAGTTGTTTACGCAAAATACTCAACATTCACAGGTCGGATACTATTATCAACAGCGTTTTATGGGAGAGGACAAACCAGCTTCCAGCTGAAGAGGAAATTAGGAAAAGACGTTGGAAGTGGATCGGATATACATTAAGCAAATCACCAATGTGCATTGCAAGGCAAGCCCTAACTTCGAATCCGGAAGGGAAGTGGAAAAGAGGAAGGTCAAAGAACACACAACGCCGGGAAATAGAAGTAGATATGAAAAAAATGAATAACAACTAAAAGGAACTGGAAAGGATTGCCTTGGACAGAGTTGGGTGGAGAATCTCGGTGAGCTGCCTTTGCTCCTCCACGAGGAGTACCAGGCGTAGGTAGGTAAGTAAGTACTGAAAATACATACAAAAGTGAACATAATCGATTTTGTAGACATTTTACATGATCTAAAAATGGATTTCATATAAGATTTCAAGAAGACTAAATCCACAATTACGATGGTGATTTACTATGTTAAGTATATTTTAAAATGTAATATGCTAACATCGATTATATACCGAATAAGAGCGTTGTATACGTTCATGTTTCCATATAAATCAACAAAAGAATCTTATGAATTACTATTTTCATTGTTAACATCCCAATATACATGTTCAGATTTATATTGCCATGGTAACCAGTAGACTAGTCTATCTTATTACGATTTTGATGAACTTTTTTTTCTGTTAATTCTCTAATGAATTAAGTATTCATAGTCAAAATCTGGTGCTTTAAAATAGACGGAAAAAAAACTAGTTTTCATTGATAACTTGAAAATTATGATTAACAATAAAACAAACGGATACAATTTCAAGCTAGATTCATGAGTAATACATACAAACGCTCAATAACGATTTATGAAAATATGAGTATTGTGACTAACAAAACAATCCAGAATTCGTATCTTGGCCTATTTAGATCATGCCAGCTGAACATACCTCCCTTACGGTATTGATATTTACCCAGGGACTAATCCAGAAATTTTTTTTCCACAAAAGACCAACGTATTATTCACCAAGTAACTGGTCAAATTTCAATTCCGAATATTATCGACAGCATAATGTGTAAACATAATAACTGACGATTAGGTTTGAAGTCATATGAATTCATTGTATTTTGGAAATCTTCAAGAATGTTACCGGTTTCGTAAGATTAGTGTTAAATATTATTATTTTAGAATATAATGTTTATTACAATAAGACGTATAATATCATACAAATTAGACATAGTGTATGATAGGCCACCTTACTACTGAATATTTATTAACAAATAGAAACGTAATTGGATGCTGGCTGAGTAGTCTAAAAGTTAAACGTTCACTCATGAAACTGAAGTTCCTGGGTTCGAGTCCCTTGTTAAGGGTCGTAAATGCGCACTGTTGAAAATCCAATAATGGAACGGAAAGGCCGTCCAGTGGTTTATGCTTTTCAATAGTGATCTAACATTGATTCATACATGATATCAATTTAAAATAAACGATATTTATTAACATTAGAAGAGGTTTTTTGTGGAAATTTAGTATTTTCATAGTTGAAAGCTTGAATCAATTGAAGCTAGACCACCAGGGAAAACCTAGAAGCACTGGATGGCCGTTTTGTCCTATTGTGGGACTCCTCAGCAGTGCGCATCTACGATCCCACCTCATGAGATTCGTATCCAGGGCCTACCAGTTTCGCGCCAGAGCAGGTCCTGCGTTCGAATCTCACGAGGCGAGGTCGTGGATGCATACTGCTGAGGAGTTTCAGAATAGGAAGATTTGGCCGTCCAGTGCTTCCAGGTTATGTATTAAGTTTTTTTTTTCTAAGAAAATGAAACAGAATTTCTTCTCTTATCAACTCTTAATAAAGATATATTTCACAAGTATAACTTTCTTCCATAAGACATGTAAAGCTGATATTTTTTGAAGTAGGTCATAAATTAAATATAAAAATCAGATTTATGGTAAAATATTAATTATAAAATGAAAAATAAATGGCAAATCCAAAAATTCTCTTCTTAAATTTAACCTGAAATCTAATAGTTTAAATAATTAAAACTGTTTTATTTCATCATTTTAGAGTTCAACTTTCAATTAGTCAATTATGGATCGCCAACTTATTCTCTAATTTCTTTAGGTTAACCTAGGATTTGGGAAGATGTTTCAAACATTGTTCGTGTTCAATTGTCTGGACGTTTCTCTCAAATATGCTGCATTACAATCATGACAGTTGATCTCATACACAATATTCTGTTGTTCTTCTTTTGAGAACCTATCCTTAACTTTAACTAATGCTGATCTCATGGTATCCCAAGCCCAGAAGTAAACTCTTATATCATTTTTGTTTAGAATCCTTTTGAGTTCTCCTGATGTTTCACCACGATATGGGATGACTACGGTGGACTTCCAATCGTTCAGTATACATTCTAGTTTGGTTTTTCTTCCATTTCTAATAATCTTCTTTGAAAACTCCTAATGGTAGTTTTTATCCTTAAGCGTAGATAAAACTCTATTCAATTCAATCTGTTGGTCTTCCTTATCTGTAACGAGATTCATACTTTTGTTAATTAAATTTTTTACAACTGTGACTTTCGTACAACAAGCATGAGCACAACCTTAATCTGAGTATTTTTCAGAATGGGTTGACTACTTCAATACATTAATATTCAACCTATCATTATGTCTTCTATTAAGCAAACAATCGGGAAATTTTTAGTTTGTTGCCAGTGTACTCTATCTTAGTTCGATGATCTATGTAGATAATTTCAAACGTTTTGATGAAAATCATCTTTTAATAGAATCAATTTATATATAAAGAATACAATTTAATAATGAAAAGCGGATGAATAAAGAAATAGTTTTTTATATAGTTGAAATGATGAGTCAATGGAGGCTAGATAACCATGGAAAACCTGGAAGCACTGGACTGCCAAATCTTCCTATTGTAGGACTCCTCAGCAGTGCGCATCCACGATTGCGCCTCGCAAGATTCGAACCCAGGATCTACCAGTCTTGCGAGCGAGCACTTAGCCATTTTATCAAAAAGTCAATAAAACTCTTCACTAGGATAAATATTTATACATGATTATCAATTCTAGATAGATGTATAAAGGCGGGAAACTTGATTAAACGTATATGCTACTTGTAAAAAAAAATTGAATGAATTCAATGATGGATTATTTAATAATAAGTAACTTTTGCAAATCAAGTGTAAAGTCATTTAAAACGATATGTTAAAGAATATTAAATGTAGCATTGCACAAAAATTGGCTATCAGGACTCAGTAGATAAATGGATAATGTGATCGTGTTTGAGGCGAACGTTACCAAGTTAGAGTCCCTGTGTGAACATCAACTCTGATATGAAGGTGCATCCAGTTGATGAGTCCCAAATAGGACGAAACAGGTGTCAAACTGGATTCCACTGTTAGCCACTATCTGTCTTTTTTTATAGATTCAATAATTGTTAGACTTATAGATATTGGGTTTGATTATTAGTGAGGAGTAATAAAAGCATACTCTTAAAATGTTCATAAACTAAGATGGAATATCACTCGCGGTTTGGAATTGATTATTGCTAATATTTCGAACTGTAACTAGTTTGGAATTGACAACTTCTAAATAATAAGTTCATACACTTTTAGCAAAAATGAATTTCATTTGAATTTGACAGGTTAAAAGATGTCGGTGATGGAGTTAGAAGCATACAACACTGGATTAAAGTTATAGTATTAGCATTACCATTGTAATACAAATATATTCAGCTGACAAACCTTGAATAAGATGTAACGTATATTCTGAATAATATAAAACAAAATACTCACACTGTTCTTTCATTTACATCGACTCTCAAATCTGATTTATCTATGCAATGTATTTCGACACAATCTGATCACAAATATAGTTTTAAAAAAATTATCACGAACATTGTATATAAAAACAATAAAACGTTAACCAGACAAATTGAAAGGTAAGAGTGCAGTGCCGTGCTTCGATGATAGTTCACTTCGATAACCGTTATAATTCTAATCTTAACGGTGAGTAGAATCAGAAGACAAAGGATAGCAGCAACTACAGTTTATTGTCGAATAACTCAGGTTAGAAAGCTAACAACACCTGAGCGAATATGAACGAGCGAGAGAGCGAGTGAACAGGCGAAGGAAACGAACGAGGTGAATAGCAAGCAATTACATAGGTAATTTATAGTCGAATTGAATAAGGGCACAGCAAAGCAAAACAAAGGCTGATAATAGTATTTGGCGTAAATACACATATGGGAAAGGAGTATGAGTCATCGAATGATATTTAAGGAGTCAAGATTTTGGATAGAGTGTCATGTGCTCTAGTGGTATAGCAGTGCAAAGAATATGAAAATTGGTACTATCCGAATGACAATGTCTGTTAAGTAAGTTATAAAAAGGGCTTAACCAAAATTGACTAGAATCGAAATTGATTGTAGGATGGTTGCTATAATAGTAATAGGGATAATAATAAAATACACAAAAACAATGTTCAAAGGTAAAAAGAAATAGTCTTTCAACATAAAAGGGGTTCCAGTTTCCGTATAGTCGAAATTTGAATCAATCTTATTATATGCTCTTGTAGACTTTTGCATGAAACTACAAATACTGACTTGATATTAACTTATAAATTGGTCTCAACCAAATGTTTCTCAAGTGAGGATATTTGTCTATCCTGTGATCTTAAATGACTATTGCTGTTTGCAGCCACTTAGGTAATATGTACAGCTACCTTTATTCGCAGATCAAAATCGTTTCTCTGTATGTATATAATTCCGAACATATATGTAAATCTGTAGACGCAATGAGGTGAGGTACCATCGCTTACATGCTGTTTGGGATTTCGGTAAAACATAGACCTTGACTTTTAGATAATGAGTCGGGCTGTGTAAAATATCCTAACGACAGCGTTGTAAATCTTCATGTTTATTTCATTTACATGCGAAGAAGAACTGAATAACTAAGGTCTTTTCATAGACATACTGGTTAGTAGGAGAAGATGGTCTCATCAAACGTTCTACCTATAGAAAGCTAACATGAACACGGCAGTATCTAAGCTCCTATATTCACTTTTCAATTCAGTACAAACGTGGATTAAAAAGGTCTTATTCGATAGGACCATTGTATCTGCACAAGTGATTCTATTGAGGGAAGAATAAAACTCTAAGATAAGTCTTGCTAATTGAACGCTATACTCGGATCCTAAGCTAGTCTTGTAACCTCCAAGCTAAATCTACACACAACTTGAACATGAGAGAAAAGGTGCAAAATATTCGAGAAGCACTTTATTCCGAAGTTTCATTCATGTACAGAAAATTTAGGGTTCTTATAGTATTTTAGAAGTCATTGGGTTTTCCTGAAAATTCTGGATTACTAATAAACATACTAGCAGTGTAGTAATCAGCCAATCAGAAACTCTACATGTGACTTTTCACTTTCGTGATGTTTCTGGCTAAACGTCTGGTGAATGTTGATTGAATAAAAGGCTTCTTAGTGTTTCCTGAGCTTTTCTTGTCTTTTGCAAGAAATTTTCTGGACCACCCCAACACTCTTAACTGAAACATTCACGAATAACAGTTATTCACTGAAGTTTATAAACCGTTGAAAAATATGATGAGACCTGTATGTATTTCGTTAGTCTGAACCTCTATAAAGTGCAAACTACTCTGTTTTCTCAGAAATTGTCTACCGACCATCAGTCTGAAATAATTCAATGAATTGGTTAATAAGGTTTAATTGAGACTAAGAATCATCATTGATAACCAAAAAGCACTAGATGGTCACCTTATCCTAATATGGGAATCCTTATCAGTTTACATGCAGATATCGCACGCAGGACTTCAACCAAAAACTTTCAATCTCGGGTGAATACTTAAGTTCTATACCACTGAACCGGTGTCCAACGGTGTTTTTGTTTAATTTTAACCAATTCATGATATTGTGCAATCATCTTCCATTGTCTGAGGTAGATATCTTCCTCTGACTCGACACCAATTAACTCCACTAGTCATGGCTTCTTACAAAGACTTCAAGAATTCCCTCACAAAATTAATCCCTAGTGAGCACATAATAATTATCATTATAAGGTTATAAAGATTGTTAAGTTTTAAATTGAGATCATAAATCATCCAATATTAGATCATCATTAAAAACCTAGAAAAACTAGACAGTTGTTTCGTCTTAGTATGAGACTCCTCATCAGTATGCGTGATTGTTTTTATGAATACATTCAATATAAAGTTGTTTCCCAGGGAAAAAAAACAGATCAACTTTCCATATACATATATCTACATATATGATTTAACTGATATCAACTAAGAAAAATAAATTTGTCTATTCAAACTATTTTTCAATGGATAATGATAATATCTTATTAACCAATCAGAAATTAGCTTAAATAAATAATACTTTTTTTGTTATATTCTTTAATAGCCTATTGAATTCAATCAGATTTAATCAGATTGTACATACATCTTAACTTATACCAACCTTTGATATTTTATTGGTAATCATGATAGTTAAAATAAACTACTCAAAACTGTTATCATCATCATCATCCCCATCACTGTCACCATCGTCACTATCACTATCACCATCATCAATACCATCAGCTCGTTTGAATTAAGATATACATTTCATTAAAGAATAAATTAAAGCTTAATAATAATAAAAAGTTTACATAATTTACATTATTTTATACTACTCAAATACATAAAATAAGTAGTATCATCCGTTGAAAATAAAAATAATCATTTATTATTATCATTATTGTTTTAAATACTACTACTAATACTACTTATAATAATAATAATAATCAAAAAATGAATAAATTATCCAAACCAGAAAATTTTCTTTCACAATTTAAAGATATGAATTCAAATTCATTAAAATATTTTACTGCTGCACAATTTGTTGAAGTATGGAATCATTATGATCTTGATGGTAAGTTAATTTTGTTAATAATAATGTATACTGTTGAAGAATCTTATAAGAGGATGAAATAGATGTTCAATACTTGAAGGGTATTTTTTTCATGATGGTCTAGTTTTAATTGACTTATGAATTTTACTATGAAATTATTATAAGAAGGGGGTTTTGTGGAGATTTCAGTATTTTTCATAGTTGAAATCAGGTGTCAATGGAAGCTAGACCACCATGGAAAACCAGGAAGCACTGTACGGCCGTTTCGTCATGTTGTAGGACTTCTCAGCAGTGCGCATCCACGATCCCGTACTCACAAGATTCGAACCCAGAATTGAATTTGAACTATTATTATTATTATTATTATTATTATTATTATTATTATTATTATTATCGGAAGGGGGTTTTGTGGAGATTTTAGTAATTTTATATAGTTGAGATCATGAGTCAATTGAAGTTAGACAATAACACCGTTGGATGCCAGTTCAATGGTCAATTGGTTAAGTTCTCTGACACGAGTCTGGTAGGTCCTGAGTTCGAATCCCGAGAGGTGGTGTCATGGATGCGCACTGCTGAGGAGTCCCACAATAGAACGAAACGGCCGTCCAGTGCTTTCAGGTTTTCCATGGTTATCTAGCTTCAATTGACTTATGATCTCAACTATATTATTATTATTATTAATTACTTTATCCAATATTAAATATTTGGTAAGACATAGAATTCACAGCACAAAGTATGTTTACAAGTTTCGCTTTCCTACTTCTTGGTCGATCCTGATGATAAATATTA